GAGGCCGAGCGAGACCCCGACAGCGCTCTGTTAAATGCCGGTCTCCTTCCCTGTCCCTGCCTCGGCTCGGGGTGGTGTTTTGAGTCTATAGCAAGTAAAGCCCCCTCTCCTCCCCTCCCTGGGCGTCTGCACAGCAGGGTGCTTCAGGCGCCGCTGACCTGCTCGTGGCGCTAACACTGTCGAGGACTCCCAGCACCGGGCGGAGAGCCTTCACACCTGTCAGCTGGCAGAAAGCCACCGGGGGAGCTTTCCCCTGAGGTCCTGCTGCCCCTGCCCCAGCCCCTCCGCCAGCTCCCCGGCCTCCTTCCACTGTATCCCCGGGGTTTCCACCACACCTGGATACCAGCACCATCAAACCTCCGCCGCCGCCCCGCCCTGCTTCCCAGCTGCCCGTCCACAAAGCCGCCTCCTCGGTACATCTGCGGCCAGGCATCGGACCGCGCCTTTCCTGACAGTGGCCGAGAAAGCACCCTCCTGACCCCTCCTCACTCCCGCGTCACACCTTCCATCCTGTCAGGCAAGTTCCTCGTCACCAGTGGGGGACCCTGTCTCCTTGCCAGGCTCCTGGGTCCAGGCCTGCAGGCCGCCCACTCCAGCCCCCAGGAGTCACCCTCACAGCACGGTCCCCAGCCCGATCCACTCCCCGCCCGGACCCCTACTCCCAGACATCTGTTGGTGGCTCGCTGGATGAGGCCTCGGTCAAGGAAACAGTGATGCACGAGGAAGGGTGGGTGGGGCAGGAGGGTTTACAGATGGACAGGAAGTGAGGTCCCTGAAAGGCCAACCCAGCAGTCGCCGTCAGCGGTTCCAGAAGAGAAGGCTCTTCAGCCAGAAAGCAAACCCTGAGCAGGCACGTCTGCCGGAAATGTCGTCATGAAAAGCGATTTCTAATACTCGGCTTACTGCCTGGAGATGATAATCAGTATTGAGAATCTTAAGAGAAAAAAGGACAGGACTATAACCAGACTCAGTACCAGACATTTTACACAAAAACCTGTATTGACAGAGTGAAAAGCAAGTGTGACCTAAGGATTCCAGACCCTGCCAGGCTGTCTGTTCACTGTTACGACCACAGGGAACAGTCTGCTTTGCCAGAGCTCAGAGGACACTGTGCCCTGACCCCCCCCTGAGGACAGGGGCCTGGGGGTGACTGGGAACCCCGTGCAGGAGGACTGACACCAGCACCCAAGGGATTCACAGGTAGACTCAAGAATGCTGTGTGTTCTGAGAAAGCAGAAAGAATGCAGCTGAGATGGGGGAAGCGAAGGGTCAGGAAGGGGAGAGCAGAGAGGAGAGGTCAGCGCTCGGCGGTCACCCAGCGCTAAGTGGAGTCAGAGGCCCTCGTTCTGAGCAGGGAAGCGGGGGTGGGCACCAAACCACAAATGTCCCAAACACCAAAGATGCTCAGAAATGAAAGAGCAAAGAAAACACATCACGTAGGAAAAGAAACAGCAAACACAAAACACACCTAGCAGTTATAAAATAACACCAGGGCTGAGACCACACAGTCGGACCAACAGTGGAGACGGGCCGCCTCACCTGCAGACTGTCACTGTGTCCCCATGGCAGGACTCAGGTGTCTAAGCTGAACACGAAGAATGGCCTAAAACCAAGTGACTCAGAAACGAGGGGACGAGGACACAGCGGCCCCACCAGGCAAACAGAAAGCGCGGGAGAGAACGGCAGCAATGAGCATCGCAGACACGGGAAGGCGAGCCGAGAGCACACGCACAACAGGAAGGACGTTGCGAGCCACGATGCAGCACGGCGGCGCCAGGAGTGCGCACCAAGTCACAGAGAAGCCGGCTCTATAAAGCACGGCTACAAGAGATGCAAGAAAACACAGAAACTCATAACAAGTAACAGAATACAGTTCAAGAGGACAAAAAACAAGCAAGGCTACAGAAGCCCCAACCCCAAGTGTAAGTCATAACTAAGCCAGGGAGGGAACGGCGCTGTGCCATCAAGCAGAGAAAACGCACTTTTAACTCAGACGCACACAGAGCAGTCACAAAAGTATCAGGAAGTCTCACGAATCAGAAGTATCACAAAAAAAAACCTTCTGATTACAGTGTAAAAAATCCTAGAAATTATTAACATAAAAAAGGCTCTCCTACTTCGAAATCTAAAAGCCACCGATTAAGCTAGAGGGTGAAAGGGAAAAAAACCACATGGAAATTACTGAATTTCTAAAAAAGGAACCAAATGGAAACATTACGAGACACTACGGGATATACTTAAAGGAATTATCAGAGAAAAATTCAAAGTGCTAAACACTTTGATCAATAAAAAATGGAGGAATGAAAAGAAATGAAATAAATTCCCTAATCAAAAAGTTAGAAAAAACAATGAAGTAACCCAAAAGAAACCAAGGGGAAAAAAGATAAAAGCATAAATTAATGAGGTAGAGGAAGAAAAACAGTAAACCTAATTAACGAATCAACAGTTTGGATCTAGACAAACTAGCAACTAACTGAATCAAACAGAATAGGGAGGAAGAAAGCACAAATATACAAAATAAGAAATCACAAGAGGAAAATAACCACTGAAAGGGAATTTTTTTTAGAAGTATGTACTCTGCAGACATCTATGTAAAAATGGTGGAGAATCTAGATGAAAGGGTAATTTCCTCGAGAAAGAGTTTACCAAAATTAACCTCATCAGAGACAGAAGTACTTCAACAGACCAGTAACCACAGACAGAGAGTATCATCAAGGAACGAGCCCACAAAAGGCCCCTGGCCCAGAGGGCTGCACAGGGCGCTTCCTCATACCACGGGAGCTAGTTGTCCCCAGGGCGGGCGGACCGCTCCAGAGCACTGCGAGTGAGAAACAAACACAAACCCTCCCTAACTCTTTACGATGTATCATAGAGCTAAGAAGAAAAGCCATGTTTACTCTCCAGAGATGCTAGAAAACCTTTGACAAAATTCAGTGTCTATTCCTGGTAACACTCAAGAAAAGTAGGAATTGTTGGATATATTCTTAACACAATAAAATACATAAACCTACCCTGAAGCCAGAATTACCTTAACGTAGAAACACCAGACTTTCCTATTAAGTTCAAGAATGACACCATTAAACAAGAGGAAAACCGTTAAGAGGCTTAAAAATTGGAAAAGTGGAAGTAAAGCTCCTTCTATTTGCAAGGAGACGACAGAGTACCTGGAAAACCCTCGAGAATCAACAGTAAGACTCAGACAACGAAATAATTCAGTAAGGCAGAAGATACTAGGTTAACACAGAAGCTAACACTTCCACGCGTACAGACAGCCATCAGAGTGGCACTATCCAGCGGAATTACAACGTGAGCCAAAGTATAATTTAAGACTTTCTAGTGGCCACATTCATAAAATTAAGAAGAAACAGGTTAAATTAATTTTAGTAATATGTATTTTATTTAATTACGTATGTCCAAAAGACGATCATTTCAACATGTAATCAATATTAAAAATCACACTGAAATCTCTTACATTCTTTTTTTTCATACTAGGTCTACACTCACAAGACCCCTCAATCTGGACTACCCACATGTCAGTCGCTCAGGGCTGACGGGCGACTGTGGCTCCTGCACTGGACAGTCCAGGAGTGGAGGGCGTGGGGGCAGAGAACACTTACAGTTAAAAACAAGGAAGATTAAATACTTAGGAATAAGCTTAGTAAGAAATGTGAAAAATCTATGAGAAAAATCTATGTCCTAAAAGCCATAAAGTAGACTTGAACAAATGCACAAATGCCCTTTACTCTTGGGGAGGACTATCACAGAGACATCAACTGTCCCTAAATTAATTTATAAATTCAGTGCAATGCCAATAACAATGTCTACAAGTTTGTTTTTTCTCCAGGGAGCTGGGCTCATTGACACCAGAGTCCATCTGGAGTATGAACACACACAGAGCCTCTGAGAGCAGCTAGCTCAGTGTGAGAAGGCAGGTGAACACACAGAGGAAAATGGAAGTTTAGGGCAGTACGAGGTGGCACCATGAGTCACCAGGGCAAGGGGAGGTTTTCAGTAACTGGTGCTGGGACAACTGGTCAACCATTTGGAAAAGGATAAAACCATTCAGGCATCACATGATACACAAGAATGAACTCCAGAAAAACGTACCAAGGAGTTAAGTGGAAAAAAATGAAACCACGCTTACACGGAAGAAAACTTGGGCACATTCCTCAGAAACCTTAATGTTAGCGTAAAGCTTTCCGACAGCTATTTGAAATCCAGAGGCAATAAAAGATCAATGAACTGGCTATGTGGAAGTAAAAACTAAAGTCTGTGCAGAGCTAAAAAGCATCATAAACCGAGTCAGAAGACAGCTCAGGAACTGGGAGGACGTGCCTGCAGCATGCGATGCAGTCAAAGGCTAACAGCCCAATTTACAAAGGACTCTTGAAAACGGAAGGAAAAGGACCAAAAACCCAATTAAAAAATGAGAAAATGACAGAATAGAAAATTCACCAAAAAAGATACAGAAACAGCCCTTAAAAACATGACCTCACTGTAATGAGAGACAAATGCAAAGGGAAACCACAGGACAGCCGCCCAGCAGGCGGGCCCCAGGGGCAGAGCCCGACAACGCACCGCGCTGGGGAGGCTGCGGGAAGACCGCGCTCAGACGTGTGGCTTCCGAGGCCGCGCCACCGGCAAAGCCTGCGCCCCGCACCCCGCGTGTGCCACGGCCCTGAGTGCGTTCACAGCGACCACGACGCCTGAGCGCTCGTGCGGGAGTGGGCGAGCGTGCAGCGGAGCCCACGCACACCTGCACCCTGAGGAAGAGCTGCCTGGGTGGACGGGAGGGCCTTCCAGTCAGAAGCCGGGAGGCCAAGGGTGAAGAGGTCCCTCTGCCACCTCTTGCGTCAAAGCAGAAAAGCAAGTGAGAAGCCCAGTAGGAATGGGACGGGGAAAAACATCAGGGTTCAGGGAGGGAGACGAAAAACAAGATGGAAAACAAGCCGAACGGGAACCTGGCTGCGTGTCCGAGGAGCACCTGCGACGGCACCAAACAGGCGGTAATAACGTGAAGGTCCTCTGGGGGAAAGAGCTAACCCGAGCCCCTTCACCACTTCATCCCCTCAGGCTACAGACAACGGACCGCGTACAAGCACACAGCAAGTGCGGGTGCAGGCGGGCAATCCCGAGTCCCCGCGGGACGCGCCCCAGGACCGAGCAGGTCAGGAAACAACGGACAGCGGGAGCGGACGACGGGGCCCACGAGGAGCGCGGTGGTGCTGGGTCAGGGCTACGGTTGCCAGCGTTAACTCGGACTTACTACGGAAATGAGACAGAGACACAGATGTGTGCACAGTGCACGCATGCACGCACGCACGCACACACACCTCCTCCTAGGCTCTGCCAGCTGAGAGGACCTGGAAGCAACAACACACCAGTAGCACCCAGGCCTAGGCTCACCGCCGCTGTCCAGCTCGTGAGCCTAGGACACGCAGCCACCCAGAAGGACAGGAGTGCTCAAAGGATGACCAGGCGGAGCAGCCATCCTAAGGGGGCTCCCACTGATGGACTCTGGGACAGTCAGAGCATCAAATCCACAGCGTTCATAAAGGAACACAGTCTATGGCAGAAAGTAAGAATGTGTGAATCCACCCTCATGTAAATAACAGAATGAATAAAAAAAGACCACGAACAGAAAGAAATCTTTTCGTACAGAAGCCAAATAAGAAACGTAGAAAAAACGTTGGAAAAATCACCATTTGGCCAACAACACAGCAGTACCCACTCGAGGTAAGAACCGTTTATGGATGCTTGCCCTGCGGGCACACAACCAAACACGAGACTCCTCTCCCCACAAGACACTTGGGCGTCACAGGCCAAGCGCTACACTGGCAGTGGAGAGACTGGGCGGACACCCCCGTGGCCCAGGATCAGCCACCCCTGACACAGCTGTGCCCCTGACACCGCTAACGCGGGCCCACCCATCGCTGCCACGGCGCCGCCAGACAGGGGTATCGTGTTCATGTTAACCTCCTGATTCTGACACCTGTACTGTGGTTTTCTAAGAGTGTCCTTATTTTGAGGAATCACACACTGAAGTATTTAAGGGTCAAGGGGCACCACGTCTGAAACCACTCCATCTGGTTCAGAAAGGTGACGGGAGGGCAGAGGACAGAGCGAGCGTGGGGCCGTGCTGCTCGGGGCTGGGAGCGCACAGGGCTCCTCGCTACTCTTTCTTGCAGCTTCTGGGACGTTTAAAATGACTCCAAAATAACAAAACGCAATTGACAGCGGCAATCTGTTCCCACCACTGGCGCACAGGCCACCAACAGCACGAAGCGCATGCCCCCCAGGGCCGCACCCAACCTCCGGGAGGGACGGACGGGTGCCGCCCTGCATTTACCGATTGAGCTGCTGGCTCTGTCTCCCTTCTTCTTCTTGTTCTTCTTGCTCTTGCCCTTGGGCTGCGGGGAGTCTGCGGGCACCGGCTTGCTGCCCGGCGAGTGCTCGGCGGGGGCGGCGGGCTCGGCGGGGCTGGGGCTGGACTTCCCCTCCCTGACGTGGTTCAGCTGCTTCCTGTTGTTGTTGTTGCTGTTGGCTTTCCTCTCCTCCCTCTTCTGCTCCGCCAGGGGGGCCAGGTCCAGCACTTTAGCCCTGGACTCGGCCTGGGGCCGGGGCCTGGGCGGGGGCTCCAAGGCCCTGGGGGGCTCCAGGGCCTTCCTGGCCGGCTCGCCGGGGGCCTTGCTGGCCTGCTTCAGCTTCTGTCTGCCGGGCCCCTCTCTGTGTTGATGCATCACGTCGAGCAGGAAGGACAGAGGCTCCTGCCGCTTCCCGCTGGCCTCCTTCGGGAGGAGGAGCTTGGAGTCCCTGGCGTCGGCGGGGTCGCTGGTGTCCCCGCCGGCCCCCGGCCCTGGCCTGGGCTCTGTGTGGTCCGCGTGTCTGGAGGGGGAGTGGGATGAGGTCTCTGGGTCTTCGGTCGGCTCCAGGGAGCCGTTGAGGATGCTCTCAGAGGAGGGCACGGGCTCCGCGGCGGCCTGGAGACCTCCAGCAAGCATGTCCAGCTTGGGGCAGTCCTTACTCGGCCTCTCCTTCTTCTTCTTCTTCGCGGCTCTCAGCTTCTGAAGCTCCTGGAGCCGCTGAAACTCCTCCTGGAGCCGCTCCTCCTCCTCCTCCCGCCGCCGCCGCTCCTCCCGCAGGTGCAGGTGCTCCCGGGCCCGGGCCTCTGCCTCAAGGCGCGCCTTCTCCTCCAGCTGCCGGTGCGAAGGGAGAAGGCAACGTGAGACAACAGTAAGTGCTCTGAACACTAAGACGCACAGAAAAGCAAGGTGAATTCAAAAAATGAACCATGTAAGAATACACACTTGGAAAAGGGCTACAAAGGGGCTAAGCTTAAACGCAACTACGCCAAGTCACTCCACTCCACGGAACCGTCAGACTTGCTGTCCTCACGCCCTCCTGACGGCGGGGGCGGCAGTTCACAGCAAGGCACAGGAAACAAGGTCGGGGCCGCTGCTCCGCTCCCGCCGCA